GAAAATGAAAATGAAAATGAAATAAAACAGTCTTTATGAATAAGAAACAATGAAAGCGCATGGGAACGTGGAAAACAGGATGAATGAATCCTAAAAATAACTGGCCATAGGCAGTTCTGGCCCTAAGTGATAACATTGTATGCTAATGAGTGTAATAAGAATAAAAGGGAGTTTTCGGACTCTGTTCTGAGCTCTCATCCCGAGACATCTTGCCTGAGTGTCTTATTCCTCATGAGAGACCACCACAGAGGGGGAAAATGTTGGGAATAATTAGGCTATTATTATTTTAAGCGCAACCATAATTGTCAATTTGAAATGTTGTCTTTGCTTACATAGTAGTGACCCACAAGAAACACACTAAGATGATCAGCCATGACTGATACCTGGATAGTCAGCTGTCCTTATGCTGTGGGATTCCTTTGCTGCAGATATCTGATCTAGCTTCTCCTCCTGAATTTCAGGAGACCAGTTAAGACTTGGTTTTTTTCCATCTAGTCGAAGAGGAAGGCATGGTATTTCTACATGAAAATTTAATGTAGATATTTAAAGCTCTGGTCATCAACTATAATAAGGAATTTGATTTGATACTTAAGAGCTGTGGGAGAAAACAGCACCCTCCAAAACAAGTTAAAGTTCTTACAGAAGAAAGACTCAGTTTGGTCTAGTGATTAAGGCAACAGGTTAGAAAGTGGGAGGCCATGAGTTCAAGTCCTGCCTTGGCCATGAAAGCCAGCTGGGTGACCTTGGGCTAATCATTCTCTCAGTACAACAGGGTTGTTGTTATGGAGAAAATAGAAGTAGGAAATTGTGTTGGATATGTTCAGAAGGAAAGTAGATATCAGTGGTGGGATTCAAGTTTTTACTATCGGTTCTGTGGGTGTGGTTTGGTGGGCGTGGCAGGGGAAAGATACTGTAAAATCTCTACTCCCACCCCACTCCAGGGGAGAGATACTGCAAAATCGACATTCCCATTCCCCATTCAGCTGGGACTCAGGAGGCAGAGAATAGATGGGGGCGGGGGCAGTCAGTGGTGGTATTTACCGGTTCTCTGAACTACTCAAAATTGTTTGCTTATTTGTAAACAAACAAGAATTAGTGTTTTGTGTCATTCTCTAGAACACAGCCAAAAGTGGAAGTTTTGTTTTTGACCACTATTCTGATCAGGCTGACTGAAAGATGTTTTGATTGATAAAATCAAAATGTATTCTAAACACTTTTTTAAAAGGACATATATTTCCTCTCTTTTCTCCACAATTCATCTACAAGAAAGACTCTAAAACTGGAGATAGATTAAAATAGGTCTCAAGTGATTCTATTGTGAACCTTACCATACTATAAATAACAACTGCTCTGAGGTCACGAGATTCTAGTATTCTATTTGTTACGCAAGGAACACATCATAATTGGGGAGCCAGCTCTATCTTGGCAGAATTATATTACAGTAATGTGAAAAACAGAAGTTTGATCAATGAAGCCTAAAAGGAGAACTGGAATCTGATGTTAGTATTGATTCTTTTGTTTAACAGATACTTAGTTTAATCTCCAAAAACCTACATTTCTTGCCACATCATCATTAGGTGCCTGATTAAGATGTTTATAGGAACTGGCCAAAAATACACTGTAGTATATGATTTGTAATATCTCCTTCTTAATAACATCTAGTCAGTGGATAGATTGTTCATTGATCTACCAGAAATGAATATATTACAACTGAGTTATAGAAAACAAAGATAAAGCCCAAGGATTTTAATGGCACTTTTCTGGAAAGAAGTGTAATAACTGTGCCAAAGGTTTAGACCCAAGCACTATGGATTAGCCAGAACTTTCTCCTTTAAGTGTTAACTGAGATTGATGTTCAAATGAGAAAATGAAGCAGAGGTTTGGCCAGTTTCTTATGGCTTTGGAAAATAGTGCTGTTTGAAGATCAGCCATGCCATTCATAAGGGCAACAGGATGATGTTCCTCATACTTGCCAACTCAGTGGAAGAAAGCATCCCACTCTCTTTCTAATTTCAATCCTTCCTATCTCCAGATCATTCATCTGTGACCTATAAATTGTGATCAATCCTATTTCCCCTTGCTACATTTCATCAGATACTCCGCCAATCTTACAGTCAATCTATTTCTCCAATCTTTATTTCACCTACCATTTAATTCTGGAAAATGTTTCTTGCCTATTGATACTTTTAACACTTAAAGCATTTTTTTAAAAATCTAGACGTAATTGATAGTATATATAGGCTGTAATATAGTTATATAATATTGTAAATGTATTGCTTATTCATTCCAGGAAGCAGGTTTTAGGACAGAGAAAAAGTTTTCACTTTTTATATAAAGATATTTAATTATTTATTTTCCTTGCCTGGCAGTCAGAGAAACTGGCAGAGAGCTGCCTATAACTAATCCAATGCCATTTAACATTATGCTTTTGCTCTTCTGCCGATCTGCTTTGGAAAAAAAATAAGCGCTGAAAATTAAGATAATGCATCCTTAGTTAGAACAATATTTATTACAAATTAGGCTGCAATCCTCAGGTAATAATTTGGAATATATCTTGCTGCTTGGTGAAATGAGACTTGTCCATTGTCCATTAGACCTCTTGCCCATCATCCAAAATAAAGCAAAGGAAAAGAGGCATTTCTTTTCCCATACCATTGATCAAAGAATTCACTTCAAAAGAATGTGATGAAAACACAAATGGTCCTCTTTGGAAGAGAATATTTGTAGATCAGGGTTGAAATAAGGGATCCTTGGTGCTCTGAGCTCTTTTTGCTTTTTTGCAGATGTTTTATTACCAAACTGGGTAACATCATCAGTGCTAGATTGTCAAGAAAACAACCAAGCTCATATGGCAGCAAGGACCCACAGACAGTCCTTGTTTAATGATCACCTGTTCAAGCAATCATTGAAAATTAGGATGGCACTGAACAAACAAGTTATGACCTGTTTCTCAGGATTTTGCCCATCACAGCATCCCACAGTCATGTGATAGCAATTTGCAATATTCCCAGCGGGCTTCCCACAAGCAAAGTCAACTGGGAAGCCAACAAGAGATGGGAAGTCGCAGTCACAAAGTCCTCACTTATTGATGCCAACTGGGACTGCTGGAATTGCTGTCACTAAGTCGCACAGGCACGTGTTGTTGCGCTTTAGACCTGTGTCACTTAGTGATGGCAATTCCAGTCCCCATTGCCATTGTTAACTGAGAATTACCTTTGCAACTTATGAGATTGTACAATATCCCTCAATGCTGGCTTTAAAAATATAGTCAGTTAAAGTCATATTCTGAGTGTGTACTGTATCAGGATACAGTATTTAGTTAGTGGAATGCAGGTAACATCATACTGGTCTGCAAGGTAGTTTCTAGTTTGGACAAACTTGGGAGTGAAATTGGACTTTGATGGCACCTATGCTACATAAAAGACATGGTGGCTCAGTGGCTAAGATGCTGAGCTTATCGATCAGAAGGTTGGCAGTTCAGCAATTCGAATCCTGTTACTTGTCCCAGCTTCTGCCAACCTAGCAGTTCAAAAGCAGGTAAAAATGCAAGTAGAAAAATTGAAAACACCTTTGGTGGGAAGGTAACAGTGTTCCGTGTGCCTTTGCCGTTTATTAATGCTGGCCATATGACCACAGAGACATCTTCGGACAATGCTGGCTCTTCAGCTTTGAAATGGAGATGAGCACTGCCCCCTAGAGTTGGGAACGACTAGCACATATGCGCAAGGGGAACCTTTACCTTTACCTATGCTACATTGACTATGTGTGCTACACTGGCTGAAATTGTGCTGTTAGCATGTAGCGTATTAATCCTACAACCATGGCTGATAATCTAACCTGTCTTTCTTTTGCTGAAAACTGAAGTGAATCCAGAATTACGGTAACTCAAGTAATTACAAAATGTAGAGGTCAGTATTTAGGGATTCTCCTGAGGAGTATCATGGCATATGGGAATATTTGTGCCTTGGAATGGAAGAAAGTAAATGGTAAAGTAGATAAGGCAGTCAACCTGTGTCTTCTCAAGGAGGGCTAACAAATCTCTGGTATTAAGCAGAGTCTCTAGGTTGGCTCTTCCCAGGCAAAGCATCTTATAACTTACAGGTGATTTTGTTCAGTTTCCTACATATCTTAATAATTGTGTTTGATTTGACAGGCTGAGAAAAAGTATGCAACATTTTTTATCAACATGGACTCGGAGAAAAGTTTCTTGTCTTTCTACTTTCTTGATGCAGAGAAATACAATTTAGAAGAAAAAATACTAATCATCTCTCTTCCGATCAGCGTTTTGGGATGCATAGGAAATTCGGTTATTTTATGGATCCTCTGCTGCAGGATCAGGATTAAATTAAATCTGTATTTTGTGTGTGTGGCAGCTGCTAATAACATTGTAGACTTTAGCATCATTGCTAAGTATGTTATGTTTTTTAGACCAGTGTCCTTCAGTTTAATGTATCACCGAGTATTGCATGTTTTGCATTTAAGCACTGATCAAGCCAGCTTTTTTATTTTTACAGCGATTGCTGCCGAAAGATGGTGCATTCACTTTTTCCCTGTTTGGTATAGAAGGTTTCGGCCCATAAATTTTTCAGCCATGGTGTCCTTTTCTTTGTGGGGATTCACCTCTCTGGTATCAATTGTGAACCATTATCTTTGCTCTCCAACAATTGAAGTACACTTCAAGGACATTGAGAAGTGTACAAGTTCAACCATAATACTAATCATCACTCAATTAATTTTTATTCCAAGTATGATATTTTTTTCTTTGGGCATAATGATTAGAATTCATATGAGACAAGAAGAAGTTTCTCCAATGAGACTAGATGTTACCATTGTAGCCACAGTTCTTCTCTTTCTGATGTTGACTGTACCATTTCACATAGCTAGGATCTTGTTATACTGGGTCGACAGCATTGATGGATATATTCTGGGTAGCCTTAACACACTATTGGAGTCTGTCAGCAGTTCTATCAGTCCTTTTATATATCTCATTGTTGGATGTTGGAAGAAGCCGAAAATGGAGACACCCTTTGTGTTTCTTGAAATAGCTTTGTCAGACAAAACAACCATGCTTATAAAAACACAAACAGAGACTTAAAAATCAACAACTGTATGCATAGAAGAAAACTGATGTGCATTCTCTGCTGCAAAATAAATTTCTTTACAAATATTGTATGCGCTGTTACTTACTTCTAGTACGTCCTGTGTATTCTGAGTCATGGTGGCCCAGTGGTTAGAATGCAGTACTGCAAGTTACTTCTGCTGACTGCTGTCTGTAGTTCGGTGGTTCAATTCTCACCGGCTCAAGGTGGAATCAGCCTTCCATTTTTCCGAGGTGGGTAAAATGAGGACCCAGATTGTTGGAGGGGGGCAATATGCTGACTCTGTAAACCTCTTCAAGAGGGCTGTAAAAGCTCTGTGAAGTGATATATTAGTTTAAGTGCTAGTGCTATTCTGTGCTATGCCTCATAATATACCAAGCCCTCATAAATTGCCCCTTAACAAGAGCAGTAAATGGAGCAGGTGACCAAATCACATTGGCATGATATTCCCAGTATGAAAATTATATTGTGCATGCATATAAGATATATACGTATATAAAATACTACATGCAAATTTATATCATTTGTTAATGGAGGGGACAATGCTTATGCAGTCATCAACTGAGCCACCACAGAATAAATCAGTGATCCCTTGGATCAGGGGTGTCAAACTGACGGCCCTTAGGCCAGATGCATCACACGCAGGCCATGTCCACACCGACTCCGCAAGGGAAAAAAACAATACGTCTGTTTGACACCCGTGCCTTAGAGGGATCATTCAATGAAAACTCTAAAGAGCAAGAAGTATAGGCAATATAATGAGACCATTGAGAAAGGCAAGCAGTCCCCCAGGGCCAAAATTCAGGGAGTCCTCTACTTACAACAGTTCACTTAGTGACCATTCTGTTACGTCTCTGAAAAAAGTGATTGAACTGTGGATGCTGGGCAACTGGTTCATGTTTGTGAGGGTTGCAGTGTCCCAGGGTCATGTGACCATCTTTTGTGATCTTTTGACAAGCAAAGTCAATGGGAAAGCCAAATTCATTTAACAATCCTGTTACTAACTTAACTGTGGCAAGAAATGTCATAAAATTAGGCAAAATTCACTTAATGACTGTCTCACTCAATAGAAATTTTGGACTCAATTGTGATCATAAGTTGAAGACTTCCTGTATTAGAAGCACATAAAAGTGAGGATTTAGAGATTCTCATCAAAAAAAGAAAGAAATATAGCTAAGTAATCTCCTGTAAAAGTACAATTTGAATGATGATCAATTGAAAGCAACACTTTGGGTCTCTGGGATTCTCAATAATTTGGGGCTAGTGGCAATAGCCATCATCTGGAATCTTACTTTGTTGTAGGTTTACTCGGAAAACTGGACTTGCCCATTCAAAAAACATGTTTCCTTGAAAAAATACATAACATTTATTAGAAAACTGATAATGATTGGCTTCCAAGGCAGCATGGCAGATTGAGCTCAACTGTGCTTTTTCCAAAACCAGCAAGCACGGCCAAATTAGGAACCAATGAAGGGAATGGCTCTCCAGGTCAAGAAGGTAAAGATCACCCACACTTGACCCTTACAGGCACTCCTTGTGAAGAAATCACAAAAAAAGCATTCTCCAATGGGTTTGAGAGGTAAGGCAAGCTGACATTTTTATTTTCAAATGCTCTAGCATATGGAGCCTAAAAAAGCATTCTTGGAAATAAGGATACTTGAGGCGATATTCCATTTTTTCAGTATTATCTATCTGAGTAACAAATGGAAAAAATAAAAAATAAAAAGCAAACGGAAAAACTAACAGCTGTCTAGAGAACATGTCCAAAGGCCTAACTGCACAATACTGAGGATCCCAGCAATACAAAGCCCTTTTACAGTCTGTCTGACAGACACATTACAGTAGATCTACATGATGTATACATAATGTGTTTAGTCTATGAGAACCTAGTCAATTATGCTTTGTCAACAAACCACAGTAAACCATGAAGAGCTAGTGATAAAAAATTTTGAGAGGCAGAAGAGAATGAGGAAGAAGTTTTACTCACATATTTGTTTACAATATGTTTATTTTTCTCAGGCTTGGGGTGGAATATTTGTTCTAATTAGACAGGAACAAATAAAGGAGCATAAGCTTATTTGCAATCTATGATGATGCTATTTACCAATTCAAATGGAATACAATTCATTAGGTAGCCAAATGGATGATGGCACAGCAATTAACTACTGTGCTTTGGGACATGAAAAAAATCTGCCAAGATTTTCAACTGGGTCAAAATGGGAGAAAATGATTCGCCTGTGGGGCAGATAAACCGTAGTGTATATAAACCATTACAATTTCTCATTGAAAAGTGCAAATGTAGAAACGTTAACACAGAATGCTTCATGTATTAGGAGAAATTGCATATAAAACAATGTAGTTTAAAATGAATTCTAATTAGAAAAAAAGAATATATACAATCCAACAATACTAACAAGACAAATTAAAACAAGAATACTCCACATATTCCATGTTGTAATTTAAGGTTCTTTTGTAAGTACTAGTTATTAATATATTTTTGATTTCTAAGTCATCACTGGTTTCTGAGCTGCATATTGATAAACCAGAGCCCCGTAAAAAAAATAAAAATTGAATCTGGTGACCCTGCCTCTTTTACATTATACATCATCTATTCCTGTTGGGAAATTAACGCCCTCTGTGCTCAAACTAAGAAAAAATTCACAATGAAACTGATTCAGGAGGATACCCTTTTGAGCAGTTAAAGTGTGGTTAACAGTTGCTGTGAGGTCACATGATTCTCATTCTGTTGGTCCATCACAGATGCCTGGTCATAGAATTAGATATTTTATAATGAACCAGAAACCTGATCAGACAGTTGAAAAAATATGGTGCAGTAACCATGGTAGCATTTATTTTTCTATCTAATTTGATAAATAGATTAGCCACAAGTGTCTATTTAAGAGGGAAATGAAAATCATCTTTTCTCTTCAGTGTTTTGTATTGGCTTTAATAGGTGGTTGTTGACAGTTCCAGTAAAGGTAGTGTAAGAATGGAGATCCTGTAGTCTTCCCAACATTGCCAAACTACAACTCCCAGCATCCCTTCCCTTTGCCAGTTAATAATATCTAAAGGATTACTGATACTTACCTTAGCAGTATTAAAAGAGGTATCTAGAATCATTTCAATTATTGGGCTCCAGTCTAGTATAGAAATTGCTATAAACAATCTGATCTCTAGAACCTGCAGCATTTCTGTTGTTTGCTGGTTGCCCTGGTTCATGGGGGAGTCATTGGGCATGAAATGGAACATTTAACATTTAAGCATAAACCTAGATATTATATTTAGAATGCAATACTGGTTCACATAGTAAGTGGCCAGTTCTAAAAAGGAGTCCTTGCATGTTGCAATTTTGTTCTAGAAAAGCCATTTAACTAAAAAATGTAAGAAAGGAGCTTTATAACGCATTTGTTGATTTAGATAAAATGTATTAAAACAAGTAGATTTGGTCCCTTTGCTCCTTATTATATAAACGTGATTTCTATATTTGAACAGCCATGTTATCACCAAGGAAACTATTTGGAAGATTATGTAGAAATTTGTCTGGATAAATAATCAGTTTAAATTCCCTTTCCTACCTCTTCTTAGATGAATGAACAAACCATAACCATGTATTGGGTATGTCTAGTTTAATGAAAAGACGGACTAGGGGAGACATGATAGCAGTCTTCCAATATCTCAGGGAAGAGGGAGTCAAGCTATTCTCCAAACCACCTGAGGGCAGGACAAGAAGCAATGGGTGGAAACTAATCAAGGAGAGAAGAAACTTAGAACTAAGGAGAAATTTCCTAAACGTTAGAACAATTAATCAGTGGAAAAACTTGCTTCCAGAAGTTGTAAATGTAACATGATTCAGGTAGTACTTGTTTAGCGATTGCTTCAGAGCACGGGTGTCAAATTCGCCTTGTCACATTGCCGTTACGTGACATTTCATGTCATTTTTCCCATTCGCAGAGCTGGGGTGAGTGTGGCCTGCACATGACGCATCTGGCCTGTGGGCCACCAGTTTAATACCCCTGCCTCAGAGTGTGACCATTTGTATTTACAACAGCAATGAAAAAGTTGCAGCCACTCCTCACATTTATGACCTTTGCAGGTCAGTCAAGCAAAGCAAAGCTGACATAAGATCATAAGAACAGTTTCATTTTCTTTCAGCTCAATGACCAAATTGCCAATCCCACTTGGGGACATTTAGCAAGGACTACCTGTTGCTTTGGGTCACCTGTGAAAAAATTATGGTTTGCCGAGTTTCTTTTTTGCAATATAAAATCCCTTATCTGCATGAACAGAGCATAATACCGTAATAACAAGAAATTGTGTTTCTTTTGACAGGTTGAGAAGAATTTCAAAACATGTGAATAAGCGTTGTGCCAGAACAAATTAGCAATATTCCATCTATGCTGACCCAGCGAATGAAAATGAGATTAAAGTGGTGCAGAAAGCATACCACACTGACATAAGCAATGATCCTCATTGCTATTCCGATCAGCATTTTGGGAATATTTGGAAACTCGCTGGTTATTTTTTTTCTTTCTTTTGCGATTAAGAAGACCAGGTTTACTGTATATATCCTAAATATAACTATTGCTGATCTTGGTATTCTAATCTATCTATATACTTATTTTATGCTATTTTTAAAACCAAGTATTGTCAGTGCATCTGTATCCTATGTAATAGAACTGATATATGCAATTGGATGCAATTCCAGCTTCTATATGTTAACAGCTCTCTGCTTTGAAAGGTATCTATTGGTTTTTCACTTTACCTGGTATCAATGTCATCGGCCAGAACATCTTTCTTTCTTTTTTGTCATCACATTGTGGACATTTTCTGGCCTGGTATCGCTTTTGGAATACTTTGCTTGCTATCCAAGGTTCTACATATACTTGGATGAAAATACTTTAAAGTGCAGAATCACAAATCTATTCCAAATATTTCTTGAGTTCCTGATTTTCATTCCCATCATGGTCTTTTACACTTTGGCTATTTTTATCAGAATGCAGAAAAAACCACAGCAAACTCCACCAACACTTGATATCTCTATTATTGCTACTGTTGTTCTTTTTCTTGTATTTGATGTATCGGTTAAATTTTTTAATATTCTTGAATTTTGGTTTGATGCAATACATGTACCAACGTTTTCAGTGGCGGTATTATTTGACACCATAAGCAGCAGTGTCAGTCCATATATGTATTTTATTATTGGAGGTTTTCTGAAAAGGACTTATGATCCTTTTGATGTTTTTCTTGAGAGAGCTTTGCAAGATGAAGAAACAATAGTGGAGGGAACACAAATGCAGCAAGAACAGCTTTCCGAATGATTCTAAGAATCATTTTTGATTCTAAGAAATATCTTTGAAAAAGGAATCTCATGATTCTAAAAAATATCTTTGAAAAATACACTATTGGCATACAATTCCAAAATAATTTATTCATTACTTATATCATCCAGGTCCATTAATTAAATCAGCCAAATGCTTTATTTGGCTCACAACTCCCTGTCTATTCCTGCCATACAAAAAAGCAGAATAAAGAAGTCGGTGTCCAGAAAAGAAAGGTTCCCCTGAGGAGAGAATTTTAATTCTGCAAAGACTTTGTTGTGATTATGAGCTATGAGACCAAGAACTCCTAAGGCAGGAAGAGGGAAGGAGAAACTGTAGACTGCCTTTACACATGGAAGATTGGAAGGTAGCATAGGAAGAAGAAGAGAAAGCGGTGGAGTCAAAGGAAGCTGGAAGGAATGCAAAGAAAAATCTACAGATGGAAATATACTGGCATTTATATATCCCTTACGACTGACAGAGCAGCTTTATGTTTACCCAAACAGTATTCATCCCACATCTCCATCAGGAAGGTTTTGATAGTACAAAGTGATGCATCTTGACTCTGAGTTATATACATTGAAAAAGCAAAACTGTTTATCTTTAGAGTATAATGTACTGCTTTAAAGGACTTTAATATAATTAGAACACAAACGGGGAGGAATCACCAAACTTTTTGGATTTTGTATGTTAATGTAATACACTTTTTATTTGAAATTTTATACCTCTAATGTATTGAAAGGTTCCTGCTGATTTACTCTTAAAGAAAAATAGTAAAAAATTGCCAAATAAATGAAAAGCAATGCAGTGCCTTTTTTTTTTTTAAAAAAAAAAAATCAAACTCAAAATCAGAAGCAAAAATAGATTTTAAAAAAAGCAGCAGCATAAAACAGTTCTAAATTAACTGGAAGAATTGAAAACAGTTCTTCACCTGACAGGGAAAAAAAATCTAAAGAAAACAAAATCTGGTATTGGGTAACCATTTCTGGAAAGACAGAATAAAACACTTCACGAAACAGTTTAATGCTTTAACCCAAATGAAGGCAGGGCCTTTCATCTCTGCCATTTTACTGAAGCAAGCAGGGGAGATACCATCATAAAGGAGAAAGAAACAGGAGCCGGGATGTTTGCAAGGGATTGTGGTAATTAATGAAGTCAAAATGGCAGTTGTGATCATGTATCTGAAGCCCCAGCCCTTCTTGACATGTGTTGTAATAATCATAAAGTAGAATTTGATTACATGGTTGTAATTGCTATATTGATTTTTTTTAACTGTCACTTACAGACACCTCTGGCTGGGTGAAGGTAAAACAATTTGGAGAACTTGCTGCACTTCTTTCTAAAAAAAGGTGTTCCTCAGATCCCATGTTCAATTATCATGAAATTAGATACTGTGACATTATTTATTTGATGGGTTTATAGAGCCAACTGATCCAGTACGCCACTTGTGAATGCTTATGACGATACCAAACAGCTTCACATAAGTTATTTTGTTTTAAAGTCAAAAAGAGAAAGTTATTTCAATCCTTACCCAGAAGCTAATAACTGGGGTTTGAGACCAGAGTACCAACAACGGGATGAGCTCCTGTTACTTACCTCAGCTCCTACCAGTGACGTGCGGTGAGGTTTATGGCTGGTGAGGCAGCAATTTTTTTAGACTTGTGGACTTCCACTCCCAGAATTCCATAGCCAGGCATGCTCAGTTCCGATTTAAAGCGACAGCATTTGTTTTTCTCCTTTGCTAAATAAGTTTCCTTCTTTTTTTCTTCTCTTCCCTTCCCCTCCCCCCTCTCTCAAACACACACACACACACACACACACACACACACACACACACACACACAC